ATGTAGATGTCCTGTATACCATCTATGGGGCCACTGGAAACCTCTATGGAAACTGCTTTATACTGGTTACGGAAATTTTTTCTTCGATGGCAAATTTTCTTTCTCTGGATTTTGAGAACAAACAAATTTCTACCTTGCTGGTGAGTTTAATTTACTTCCTTGACTGTATTTCTTGAACTTATTTAAAATTTATTGGAGCTGCTTCTCTCCTTTCTAGTTTTTACAAAACCCAAGCCGTAACTAGTCAATAAACTTTTGTTTCTCCTCCTTTCTGGATTTTTCTAGTCTTAATTTTTCTTAAGGTCCCTTCACAGAAATTCCAGTCCTTGGATGTCCTTTTTTTTAAACAACATTTTTCACTGCACTTCTTATAACTAATACATTTGTTACAAATGTCCTTTTAATTTTAACATACAATTCTACTAGTAATTATTAAAATATTCCTTATTTTATGTTCTTTTTGTAGGTCATCTCTTGTAAACTCAACTTTAGATTTGACATTTGATAAACATTATAATTTAATTTGACATTTGATAAAAAAATTTCATATATGACTTAAGTTAATTTAAGATATCTTCTATATAGTTACTCGTCTTCCCAAAATATGCATACTAGATTTATCTATGGATATTGGGCTTTTATTTGATATACGTGACTCTAGGTATATATTCTGTTTTCTCAGTGTACTGAGTGTTAACAAGTGTCGATGTCATGCATTCTTTTGAAAAATTTATTTTGTATTTGTGAATTAAATTAAAATTATTAATTTTATACTATGTGATATTCTTTAATTGATACTTATTTTATATTCAGTCTTTATATTAACAATTTTATGCTATTTTATTGTTTGTTATATTAATAATTAATTTTTATTTATGATCCACAGTTTGGTCAGGTAATTTTCATTCGTGATTCTCTGTTTACATTTCCAATTCGTTACAATATATAAATATGTTTATCAGTGGCGAAGATACCTTGTATTACTTTCACTGAGAACCCCAGAAATTCGACTGCACAGAATATTTTGTAAATTCTGTTACTACTTTCAACTCCTTATGTTTGTTCCAAGATAAAATATATCTTTCAATTTATTTTTAAAAATGGAACCATTTTTAAATTATTACTTTTTTTAAATCTAGAACTACTTGTTTCACAAAAATAAATTCATATGATTTTTTTCTATCTAAATGACTTTAAACAGAACATACTCATGATAGTCCGAGAAAATAATACTGGCGTAATTTTTCTGGCTATATCTAACAGAAATGGAAAATTTCATGTCAATGATTTTTTTCGAACTTGTCATGATCAAATTGTATTTAAAATATGTAGTATTTCTACCAAAAAAGTCCCAGGAACTTTATTTGACGAATTATAAGTTCTAGAGTTATTTTACATCTTGTGAAGTGTTTGATAACGTTAATGAAAATTAATTAAAAGTAATTAGTTGAAAATGGTTAGATTTTTTGAATAAAATGAAAGGTATATTTTTTCTTGGAAACACTACAAGAAGTTACAGGTAGTGATCGAAAATATTCAGTACCGAATTTCTGGGGTTTTCAGTGAAAGTAGATGAATTATTAGCCATAGTTTCATCATTAATATATCACACGTTTTCAGAGATATTTTAGAAAAGGTGATATCTTTTAAATTTAAACACTCTGTATCATGAAAAATATAGACTCATCTTTATATAAGCTTTATGGTTTAAAATACACATACTTAATTAACATCCTGTATAATACACTGTTTGAGTCATTAGAATTTTAACAAAACATATTTCGTTGTGGTAAGAAGGCAACTCATTTGGTGCCTATTTAATGCAGATATTTTGTTTCCTACACCTTTCAGTGTACAATTTTATAAAAATTATCGATAATATTCATTATGTGATCACAAAGATTAACTTATATGTTTTACTGTCATCGTCCTCGCAACAGGGAACGTTAATGTATGGATTGCTTAAAATTATTTCGTGCATGGACAGCTTAAAGTTCATTTTATTTTTCGAAGGTAAGGTGTATCGCATTTTTATAAATAAGATGCAGGTATTCTAATAAATCGATTGTAAATTTTATAAGCTTGGCCTAATTTAATGACATTATTTACTTGACGCATATAGTTTACGATCATCCCACAATTGTTATTAATAAATTTTGTTTAATTTGCTTTATTTTTGGAAAAACCAGACCTCACATTCTATAAATATTTATTTTAGTATTACTACTGTCATACAGGTTATCTTTTATCAAACTAATCTCAGTGAGAAAACGTTTTCATATAAGTATCAAACAGCTGTGATTGAACTTGAACATTATATGACCATTATTAAACTAAGAAGTAAATATATGTGTAATAAAGTACACTATGGTTATTTTCCCTATGCTGCTGTGATCCTTTTACATAAGCAAATAATCCTGAACGGATTGGATGTTACATAGATGGTTGATCGAGATATCTAACGGTGCGATCGCAACAAATTTTTAACGATTGCAAAAAAGGTTTGTAAATTTTTATAAACATATACAGGGTGTATTATTTACTATACAGGGTGTCTGCAAATTTCACCGACAACGTTTGACTGCACATTTACGACGATAAATAAAGACGATCTATGAAAAAAGTTAAATAAAACAGTTTTGGTTTTTGAGTTACAAGCCTTCAAAGTTGTCAAAAATAAAACTAATTTCATTAATAACTGCATAACCCTTTTACCGATCGCGTTAAAATTTGGTACATTTGGACCATTATTGCATATTATTTCTTAAAGCTTTAGTCAAATCGATATATTGGGTAAATATTTTTCTCTGGTTACCTCTTCCTTCTAGCGGTCAAAATTTTTGCATTTTTGCTAGATGCCCTCGAGCATGGGCAACTAGTTTTGGTTGTATTTTTTTTGCGTATGAGATCTGCAAACTGCTTCGTACTTCCAGGATGTATAGCGCACTCTGGCGAGAGAACGGAAGCAATTTCAAGAAAATGTTTTATACAAAGGTTACGTATTTTTCCCCGCAGAATATGAATCTGCAATAAAAAATATGGGTTTCCATTTTAAAAATCAAGGTTGACCTTGAAATGACTTTCATAATTGACTTCAAGGTCAAATTCAAGGTCACCTTAATTTGATCTCGAAACCTGTTAACTTTTGTTCGAAATATTCTTTTTATAAAAGTCGAAATTATGCGGCCTGGTACTTTAAAATAGGACACTTTGTATAAAAGGAAATTATTATTATAATCGTATGTGCCATTTTTGAGGGTATCCTAGGTCTTGAAGGGCCACAGGATTTAGCTTTTAATGTTTTTATCAACGTTCTGTACTTACCCTTGTAGTCCGATACGTTCGGACAGTTGATCACCCCGTTGCAAACCAGTCTTTGGGGTATGCAGAGTCCTTGCTCGCCAGGACAAGTAAAGTCGCAGCCGTCACCGAGGTGATCTTCGGGATTGCCTCCCTCGATCAACTTTGACGACATCAGAGTTCCATCCACGTTTCTCGGCAGATGGAACAGCTCCGTCCACGCAATTTTGAACGCGGCCCTAGTGGGCGACGTCCTACCTAAAATAACATTAAAACGATTGATAATAATCAATTCAGGATGGCATCTATCTAGGATGTCAGGATTAAGTGTTGCCCCTTCCACTCTTTTTTTATGCGAAGAACAAGGAAAAGTTTTGGGACAGATCGGCCATTACGTATCTCTTAAGTTGGAAGAGATACAGGCATAGGCGTAGCTACGGTGGGGCAAACTGGGGCGCTTGCCCTCCACTGCGGTTCATTTAATGAACCAAATATAGGTATGAAAAAATTGTTGCGCCGGCCGGTGAAAATGAATTATTTAAACTTTTCCAATTTATTATTACATTTAAAAAATAAAAAATAATTATTTTAAATGAATAACTGATAAATAAAAAATTATAAATTTAGTTTAAGATAAAATAATTTTAATTTATGAAAGTTAGGAAACGATAATTTTAAGCATGTGCTTTTTTTGTCACATCTCCCCTGACATAAATATAAATTACTTTGTAATAAATTAATTTTCAAATTAAATATATTTTGGTTATTTATTTGAAACTATTATAAAAAAATATTCTTTTCCGTATAAATATCGGCAGCCGGATTTTTTAAATGATTTGTCTCCTGAAGCGTCTTTTTTAATTTTTAATTTTTAATTTCAAATTCTTTTAGGGTTTTAATAATAAAAAAATATTTTTGTTATTTAATAACGAAAAAAATTAATAAGAAAGAACTTTTAATTAAATGTGAGATATATCCATAAAATGCAAAATTATATTTATTTGTTAAAATATAAAGTAATATAAAGTAATTTGTTGAATTTCACGCGTAATTTACTCGATACGAACGGCTTGTCGCTCTTTACATGATGAGTGTGCATAGAACATTTTGGAAGCAAAAAATAAATTTGAAAAAGAAGTTTTGACAAGGTTTAGCCAGAACTCCCGAACACTAGTGCTGAAACCAGATTTTGATTCATAAAATTTCAAGATTTTGATTAATCAATTCATTGCAACCAATTTATTTTAACGTTTTCAAATATTTAAATAAAACAATTTTTTAATAAGTAGTTTGTATTATGTATTTTTGTTTCCCCTGGAAAAAATTCTGGCTATGCTCGTGGATACACGGGTATTAACAATGGAGCTGAGCATTTCCGTGTCTTTTAATATTATAAAAAGAAAATGTCGTAGTCCCTGAAATACCCTGGAACCTTGGATTTTTCTTCCATATCTATACCACTGAATGTTGAGTACATTGAATATAACTGCTTGTATGATACTTTTGATTCTCTCAATCAAATTTTGGTTCAAAAATACCAAAGCCGAGTATTACATAATTTAATAATAATTACTTACAACCGTTATAACACAAATTGTTGGAAATATATAGTGTAATTTTTTTAAAACCTGACATAGGCCCAACTTTTTTATTTGAAGTTATACAGTAGTGTTTCCAAATGCAAAGTTGTAGGAAATTAAGAAAAATTTACAAATAATGCTTTCCAGTGTTTCCACATTTCTTCAGTAGTTACTAAAACAATGTGACAAATCTTCAAATTCTAAATAAAAAATGTTGTGTCACATTTTTTTATTGGAGCACTCATTTTAGAACAATCAGCAAAAACAACGAAAATAATCTGCAGTCGGCAGGAACTAAAAAAGCTAACTTTGCAATAATAGGCCTTGCATATTAAACAAAAATTGTGTTGTTTGAAAGGGGCCATCATTATTGTGCTCTCATTGTGTTACTTGAAAGCTGTTGCATTTGAATGTGTATAAAAATATTGTTTCAATTCAATTGCTATGATTTTCAGCCTTTTGCAGATCCCTGGACACACACTACCAATTGTTTTTAGTTTAAGTTATTTCTTAAAAACTCCGGATCTGGAAAAGGCTTATCGGGACATCTTGAGTGGAATGCAGCGCACGCATTGCGTATACTTAAGCCATCAACATGAAGAAGAATTAATTCCACTTTCCCTTTTGGATTCATCTTAGCAACTGAATTAAAACGTTATTTTTATACACATTAAAATGCAACAGCTTTCAAATAACACAATGACAGTACAATAATGATGACTCCTTTCAAACAGCACAATTTTTTGTTTCTATTGCTATGTTGGCTTCTTTAATTCCTGCTGACTGCAGATTAATTTCGTTGTTTTTGCTGATTGTTCTAAAATGGCTACTCCAATAAAGAAATGTAACATATTTTATTTAGAATTTGAAGATTTTCAAATTATGTTAAAAAAAAATACACTGTTGCCATTTAAAGAAGTATTATTTTAGTAGCTACTGCAGAAATCTGGCAATACCGGAAAACTTTACTTGGAAATTTTTCTTAGTCAAGTTATTTCCTACAACTTTGCATTAGGAAGTACTAGTCTATCACTTCCAATAAAAAAGTTGGCCTGTCAGGATTTAAAAGAATTACTCTGTATATACAGGATGATTCAGTCATAATATCATTAATTTTAACCACGTATTCGGAAGGCCTAATAAAGAAAGAAAACCCAAAACCGACCCTATAAAAAATAAGTAATTACCTCTTAACTCCCGTTAACTCGGCGCCCTACTTCATAATAAGGAACAGCCGGCGCAGTATAAAGCGTTCGAACATTGAAGCGAAACAGCTGATTTCCCCAGTCGTCTTTAATTTTGCAATTAATTGGTTTCAAAATCAATGTTCAACGAATTCCAATTTTATTAAGTCTTTATAGGCGAATGAGTGAGTGCTTTTTTAGCCGTACTGTCATTTTAAATGGGTAAGTATCATACTACTTTTTGAAAAGCAATGCCACACATTGAAGGATACCTACTACAACTGTAATTAATTGAACAGAATACTAAAAAGTTGTAACGTACTTTACTCGGTCGCCAAATTTTTGTAACACCCTTTATATACTTTATTTTATTTTGGTTTTGGTTTTGCGGTGGTGACGATTCGGTTCAGACGTTACTTGTGGCTGCCCCCGGTATACTACCAACTCTAAACGGAATCTTAATTCAGAATTGCGAATTCTAATTTACTAGATTTATTGACGTCACTGACGTCCCTATTTGGACGCCTAATTTTATGACGACCCTTGACTACTAGTTTATCGGCAGCGGTGGTTGTCAGCCGGCGGTGGTGAGTGACGTCACAGGAACGTACTCCGGATTGAATCTTTTTGTTCGGTTTTTGTCTCGGGCGCCAGTTTCCCAATCTTTTACGTGGGGGAAACTCCACGTGAAACCTACCCTCGGTTTAAAGTAAGTACTCGGGATAGCTGCAGTGAAGAAAGTTTAATTCCAGGGGTCTGTTATTTCTCTTAATTTTAATCAACGTAGTTCTCTGAGTGTAGTGTTTTATTTTATCAAACTTGTCGGCGTTAAGAATGAATACAAACTGGAAATATCTTTACTAGATTTATTTTATATTTTTAAGGCCTATTGAAACAAACAAACAAAAGTATAATAGATTCTAATTACAATTATTATAACTAACTAAAATTCAGGAATGTAAAAACAATTTACAAGCGGTGTAAGAATAACAAATCTGGGTTAGAGCAATTATTATTAAGACGGATTAAAATGCCGGATCGGTTTTCCGGTGCTGTGAATAAATACGAAATTAGCACATAGTAAAAAATCAGGACTAAAAAATCGGTACGGTACAAAAACGACTTTAAGAAAACGGTACGTCAAAATAATATTCGGTTTTAAATTTCGGTCGGTGCTAGAAAGGGAAAAATAAGGTTAATAAATTAGAGCAATAAATAATCAATAAATAAAATATCCCCAATGGTTCTGAAACAGAAAAATAATTACGGGTGACTCTAATTCTACAAATAAATATCGGCGGCAGTTTCTAGCAAAGCGACGGAAATTAAGCGAAAATGCGACCAGCCAGGAGAGAAGCCAAGCAAAGCAGTTTATAACAGGCATAAATAAGCAAACGGTAATCAGGAAAATGATGTTGTTGGTGAACAGGAGGCAAAGTCTGGTCGAGGTGCGAGTTCAAATGCGGGGCGGCCGACAGATTTCTTCCCGAAGCGGTGGAGCACCCAGCCAAACTTCGAGGGTCTATCCGTCGCTGCACAGCCGACACACAACGTCTTCTACTGGCGGTGGAGCACCCAGCCGAACCAGCAGTTTCGGTTATTGTGCCTTACAACGTTTATCAAGCTTAGGCGGTGGAGCACCCAGCCAAACCTTCGCTGACAACGCTGCTGCTGTACAGTCTGACACCTTCACGTCCTCTACTGGCGGTGGAGCACCCAGCCGAACCAGCAGTTTCAGTAAAGGGGCGCACAGCGTTTGTCGAACGACGGCGGTGGAGCACCCAGCCAAACCGTCACCGATAACGCTGCTGCCGTACGAGCCTGCACTCAACGTCTTCCGCTGGCGGTGGAGCACCCAGCCAAACCAGCAGTTCGGTCGATGTGACGGACAACGTTCGTTGAACGAGGGCGGTGGAGCACCCAGCCAAACCCTCGCCGACAACGCTGTGGTCGTACTGTCTTGCCAGAGTTCAAAAACGGCCAGACTTATACCATAGCAGGACAAGTGAAAATAGGAAAATACAATTTGCTTACTTATTCCGGACGGTTGCTTCTGGCGGCTAACTCCTTGGGTCGGGTGGCGGTCTCTTGCCGGTTTTCAGGTCCTCGGGGTGGTCCTCGGGTTGGAACTGAAGCTCTTCGAGTTCTGGCAGCGAACTAAGGATTTTAGTCCAGGATCGTTGGTTTTATTGCTTCAATCCCCCCTTGACTAGGCAGAAGTCGTGGTAGGATTATGCGCGCGGCCCTCGACAGAGTGGGGCAGCGGACGGTTCGACTCGACTCGCGGTTAATTGCTCTCACCCAATTAAACTAATTAAATAAATAACTGGCCCACGGCCTTGCATAAAACTGGAAATTAATACCGGTTCATTACAAAGTCTTATTCAATAATTATAAAACGTAGTGAAAACGCTAACAATATTAAAAATACTAAATTGTAATTCGAAAACGATTATTATACATTTGTTTTTATTAACACGTAAATAATATTTGTTAATATTTAAAACGTAAAAAATAACTTGTTCCTTCATATGTCTAGATAAAAAGCTCTGTTTATTCGTTGTAGGTTCACTACGGATTAAAAATGCATTAAAAACTAGGTTAATGACCGCATGTTACGGGAGGTCAAGATCCACTATTGATAAACCTTTGTAGGTCAGGTCAGGAGCGGATAATGAGTTGAAAATATTTGTTTCAGCGTAAATATGCATTTTAAAATTTTTTAAATCCCGTAGGTATTCGTATTCTACTCATCTTTCCCTATCTTCCCTTNTGTAGGTTCACTACGGATTAAAAATGCATTAAAAACTAGGTTAATGACCGCATGTTACGGGAGGTCAAGATCCACTATTGATAAACCTTTGTAGGTCAGGTCAGGAGCGGATAATGAGTTGAAAATATTTGTTTCAGCGTAAATATTAATTTTAAATGTTTTTATTAATCGCGTATTCGTATTCTACTCATCTTTCCCTATCTTCCCTTAAAATTAATGACACTATGAGTGAATCATCCTGTATATATGTGATTGTCCCTATAATCGCCCCTACGTATCAAATTTGAAAAAAAATTGAGGGAATAATGATGGAATGTGCCTTACCTATAAACTGTATCGTGATGCTGGGATCACTGGCGTCCGGACTCAGCTCGGCCGACGACAGTATGGGCAGCTCCTTGGCCAGCGAGACGTTCTCCCCGCAGAGGGACAGGTAAGGGTCCAGCCTGCCCTTAAGAAAGATATCAACTATGCCGTCGTCGCATGCCTTCGACGAGAACTTTATCCTGTCAAAGTGCAACCAGAGATCCTTGTCCCTGTTCACTTTGATCTCCCAGATACACCTTATCGACTTCGGCGGCTCCACGTACCCGATGGCCTCGTAGTAGGGGTAGTGGATCTCCCCGTCGGTGGTGGGCTGGACGATGGGGGGCCCGCACAGGGGCCCGTGCACGAACTCGTAGGTGGCCTCGAACAGGGAGGCCGTGTGCTTGAAGTAGCTGAGCGCGCTGTGAGCGCTGTCTACTATTAATTGGAGGTTCAGCTGTTCCCCTTTCGATATGACTTGGGTGGAGAATGATTGTCGGTTGCAGATGCAGGTGACTTCCCCGCTTTGGGCGGCTTTATTGAGGGATATGGGAGGGTGGGAGGAGTTGGCCCCCGCGGGAAGCGGCTCCCAGACGACTAGCTTGTCGACGCGGTCTTCCAGGCAGTTGGTGCATGGTCCCGGGTTGTAGGGGTGTTCCTGTATGGAAAAATGTGCTTTGTGGAAAATTTTATTATACAGGGTGTCAAAGTTGAAAAAATAAACACTTTCTTTAATATCTTTTGTGAAATTTCGTATCTAGGGGTTTTTTAGAATGAAAAATTCGAATTTATCGACGATTACGTTGTATCTTCTAGAGGGCGTCACAAGTAACCATCAGGACGCTTTTAAACTACCAAAACTTTTTTATGCCACGGTGTATTTCACTTTGGGCTAGAACAATCTTTTCCCCCAACTTTTCTGCTTAAACGAAGGTATACCTTGCTAATATCTCTAAAGCCAACCATTTTCAAGAAACAGGTATTTATATTTGTAAATGCATAAAAAAATTAGTTTGAAAGTTATTTTCAACTCTACTGATATACGAAATTAGGAGCAATTGTTTATTAGCAAGAAATATGCCTGTGGCTAACATGTCCGCAAGTGACTCATTTTAAGTATTACGTCAAAAGTACCAGCCTGACGCCGCCCGGACCTGTTCTAACAGTTGCAAGGACAAAGAACAGACGCGGAACGCACCAGGGTTCCAGGAAAGGTCCACGGTAGATTGGCGCCAGGACCAGATACATACACATGCCAGCGGCTCCATACCAAGACTCTCCAGCGAACGCTCGCCCCGACTTCACTTCTTTTTCACTAACCTTGTTTTTAATAAGAATACTATTATTTTTACTGTTGAGAGAGAGTTTTATTTTACTGCACACCGCAAGTAGGGTTTCTGGTCGAGACTTCTCGAAGCGAGAATTCCCGGGAAATCTGGCCTTACTCGAGACGCGAAAAAAGTGTCGAGAAATCGAGAAATTGAGAAATTTCAAAATCACGCGCGTCTTAAGTTCTTGACTGGAGTTCGTTTCGTTCATACGTTCAATTCGTTTCTCGACAAATAACTGAGCGGTTAAAGTGGTTTCTCTACCAGCTCATGATTTATTTATTTTAAGTTTCTAAGGCTTTAGTTTACTTTGACGATTCTTATTTTTTTAATGTACCTTGTTATAAGTCTGTAGAAATTTATTATAAGCAGATACCTAATGTTGATGTTGATTCTGAAAATATTTAGTTCCTGTTTCTTTAGTTGATTATTTTATTGTTATTGTTATTTGTTTTGTTAATTAAAAGATTGTGATTATAAGTGATAAATTAATAGAAAGAACGCTTCTGTATCTTTAAATTAAAGATTGTTTTTTTAAGATTTCTTCGGTTAAATTCCTTATTTACTATTTGTTTAATTAAAAGACTAAGTATAATGAAAGTGTTTAATAAAAATACAAGTTAAAGGTTTTTAAGAAGAAGATACTCAAAGTTTAATTTAGTTTTGTTAGTAGAAGTAGAAACATATAAGTAATTAATAAAAATACTAAATAAATAATAAATGTTAATGATTATTGTTAAGTATAATAGCATGTTTATATTTAGCACTGCAATACCAAAATTATGACTTTTTTATGTTTTAGAAATTTCGCGAGAATTCGAGAATTCCCGGGAATTCCTAGTCGAGAATTCTCGAGTCCCGAGAAAAAAAGTAGGCCGAGAAATCAGAAACCGTAACCGCAAGCAACCTTCATGTCTTTATGCAATTAAAATTTTAAATTTCGTTTATTTAATAATTTTACTGCAAACAGAATGACAGACTAAAAAACATACTTTCTAAATACAATCTAATCACCCTGAACAATGTAACCAATGTATAAACAATCTAAAAATCTAAAAAATAAGTAATAATTATTGACCTGTCTTAAAAGAAATATTTTTCAATGGAAAAACATATCCTGCACTCTCTGCTCATTGATGAAGCGACAAAAGCCAACCAAAAATTGAAAACCTCTGCAATTGCCTTGGAAACAATGTAATTAAATGACAACACTGTCTTGAATGTCCTTTGTAATATTTGAAAATTTCAAAATCGATTTTTACTTTTTTTCTATGAGTTCCTTAGTAGGTAGCAGCAATAATATTTTTTTTTCACAAAATGACTAATGAAGGGTACAGGAAGGCTGAAATGACTGATAGGTATGGAAGAAAACGGCTGAGAATCTGTAAGGGTATACCGTGATAGGTTTCCAAACAGACGCATTCCAAATCATCAAACGTTTACACTCATGGAAAGACATATGCGTGAAATAGGGACTTTTGTTGCTGTTGTGACTGATTATGGACATGTTCGCAACATAAGGATACCCGATGTAGAAGAACGAATTTTGGAACGCATAAATGAAAAACCGACTTTAAGTCTAGAAGACTGGGATTAGAATTAGATTTTGTAAATCGCATTAGAAGGGAACAATTGCTACAACCATATCGTATGCAAAAAATTCAAGAACCTTTACCAGGAGAATCCTAATTACGTCTTGGCTTTTGACGCTTCATCAATGAACGGAGAGTGCAGGATATGTTTTTCCATAGAAAAATCCTCTTCACAGATGAAGCTTGTTTTACTAGGGTAGGAATATCAAACATTCACAATTAACATGTTTATGCCGAAGTAAATCCCCGTGTTTCTGAAATACGACACCACCAACATGAGTTTGAAATAACCACTTGGGCTGGGATAATTGATAATAATATCATTGGTCCTGCTATTTTGCCTTAATGTGGAAAATGATTTACAATTAGACTTGAAAATAGATTACCAGAATTGCTGGGAGTGTTATCTTTAGCTCAGAGATTGACTATATGGTATGTGCACGAGGGAGCTCCCCCGTATTACTCTGTTAATGTTCGAGCCTTTCTAAATCAACTCTGTCCAAACAGATAGATCGACAGGGATAACAACGCTCCAGTAATTTGGCCGGCGCGCTCCCCAGATATGACCCTGATAGATTATTTCTTCTGGGAAATCCTATAAGAAATGGTTTATTCGATACACGTCAGTAATAGAGATGATATGTGGCAAAGAATTCAACATAGTACAAATTCTATTAGAAATAACACACAAATCTTCCAATGGGTATAGTTTCATTTTTTGCACAGAATTAATCTCTGCATGCATGTAGGTGGTGGACATTTTGAACTTCTATTATGACAGAGGTCAATAATAATAAGTTAGTTTCAGGATTTTTACATCGTTTAGATTGGTTACATTGTTTAGATTGTGTTAGACTGATTAGATTGTTTTTAGAAAGTATGTTTTTACTCTGTTAATTCTGTTTGCAGTAAAATTTTTAAATGAACGAAATTTAAAATTGTAATTGCACTGTTTCCTTTAAAGACATACTTCTTGCTAATAAACCAGTGCTCCTAATTTCGTTCAGTGGAGTTGAAAATAACTTTTACACATTTTTTTATGCATTTACAAACTTAAATGTCTTTTTGTTGAAAAGGGTTGGCACAAAAAATCCAATGCCTCCTAAATCGCCGATAAATTCGAATTTCTCATCCCAAAAAAACTCCAGATACGAAATATCACGAAATTGGCTCGACGTAGTCGAAATTAACTAAATTTTGAGTCGTACTATACAGGGTGAGTGATTGGAGTATGCGAGCCTTATTTGAAATCCCCATTACAATGTACATATTAACAATATAGAACTTGTACAACGCAAATTCTTAAAATTTTTGTCATTTAAATTGGATAATGTCTATCCATGTGTTGGTTTTCCTCATGATGATCTCCTTAAAATATTTTCTCTAACATCATTGAAGGATCGAAGAGATAAATTCTCACTTTCTTTTCTTCAGAAGCTATGTCAGGGTGTTATAGACAGCTGTGATTTGATTAGTTATTTAAATTTTCATGTTCCTCGTGCAACATCCAGGCATGATCAGTGTTTTTATTTATCAACTCCTCGTACGAATATTCTCAAATACTCTCCTATATACAAATATATATGCAAATGTACTATAATAACCATCAAGTCTTTGGACCTATTTGTAAAGGTGTCAACTAATAATAATCATTGAGTGAACATGCATTATATTCATGGTGATTTAGGTTATTAAATGTATTGTATTTTTCTGTTTTTACCCATCCTGTTAATAGAATTTTCTGTTGGGTGGTGTATAAAATAAAATAAAATAAAATAAAAAAATATATAAAAAAATTAGTAATGGTACGTAATAGCAAATTGTTAACGTCAAAATATAGTTAATTGTTGCTCCTTTTCGTTCTACAGGGTATAAAAGTTGAAAAAATATTTTCAATTTTTTGCTATAATTTAAGTACTTAGGTATGTACCCATTGTTTTAAAAATTTGTAGTTTTACGTTTTCTTGAGGTGGCAAATACGAATATGCAAACAGTATAGGGGTCACATCTAGGGGGCAGTAGTTGAACGTTTTTATCAATGTGTCTAACTTTTGTATTTTTTGTATTTTACAATTTTGAATTTTTTAACTAGAAATTATTGAACTATGTTCAATTCAGAATAAAAATAGGTATAATCGGTAAACTCAACCGTTTTCGAGATACAGACGTTTTAAGTAGGTATTTGAGATTCGGCGGAAATTAAATTAGAAATTTATTTTTTCCAAAGTAGTAGGTATTGATATAATAAATTGACAACTGTCACTGCAATACCATATTGTTTCTGTCAATTCTACTCAATTTGATTAGGAAGTAGTTTTTTCCTTGTCGTTATTTTTTAGGGTAGGAATATCTTAATAGAAATTTCCCGCACCGTTGGATTAGACACGGTAGCGAAGTACTTTGGCCTGCACGTCGTTCTGATTTAAATCCGCTGGATTTTTACTTTTGGGGCTTTCTTAAATCTCCAGTTTACAAAAACATTACACAGACCCACAAAAAAAAAGTATCGGGTCTGGTATTCAGATCCATGTATTTCCATGTATTTTTTCCGCTGAATCCGAATTTGCCTTCAGATTTGGCCCAACGGGTCTGAGTTTTCGGGAAAATTAAAAAAACAGGTCAAAATTTACAAAAAACGTAATTTACGATCGACGAAAGTTATAAAAAATCAAATTATTCTACCAGTTCACTAGACGTATGATTTTTCACTCGTTTAATTCCAATTTATCATCATAGAG